TAATAAATATTTTTATTTTAATAATGTTTAAAAAATTATATACAGGGTGGGCCATTTTAATCTCCCTACCTGAATTTCTCGTAATCTAAGCCATATAGAGAAAAATGGTCCAGACAAAAGTAAAAGGGGACAGAGGGGATCACCTAATGGTACCAAGGACCTTGACCTTGAACTCGATTTTCAAGGTTATTTCAAGGTCAAAGTAATTTTTTTAAATAGGAACAACTATTTTTGACCCCGGATTTGAAAAGAGCGGGAAATTTTACGTTCAAAATGATATGTTTATCAAGGTCATGGCAAGGTCGAATGAAGGTCAAGTTTGCGAATTTTGATTTCCCAATTGAATATACCGGAACTAGACAAATGTTAAAGGGGGCCGAAGGGGTCACCTATCTGTACTCTGATCTTGACCTTGAACTCAATTTTTAAGGTTATTTCAAGGTCATAGTGATTTTTCGAAATGGGAATCACTATTTTCGAGGGTTTCTTTAACTGTATTAACCTTACTTTTAGCGCTATCCAGAAACAACGACCTGGACGTAGTAAGTACTGTTTCCTTTGGGGTGCTGGATTAAAGTGAGTCCCCTCGCCTCTCGCTATTCGGGGTGCTGGATTAAAGTGAGTCCCCTCGCCTCTCACTATTCGGGGTGCTGGATTAAAGTGAGTCCCCTCGCCTCTCACTATTTTAAAAATTATTAACTTAACTCTGAAGCAAATGTTCGAAGTTGCCTCCATTTGCTTGAAGGCATAAAATCAAACGTCTTTGGAAATGGCGTACGGTGTTAAGGAGAGTTTGCCTTGGAATTGCAGCGCATGCTCGAGGAATGCGATCTTCAAAGTTTGCTCTTGTTGTGAGCTGTTGTTCGAAAACAATATTTTTCAAATAGCTCCATAAAAAAAAATCTGGGGATGTGAGATCGGGTGAACAAGCAGGCCAATTAACCGGACCGCCTCGTGAAGAATGTGGTTCCAGCAGGATGATGCACCACCACATTTTGCACGAATAGTACAGGCTTTCTTGAATGAAAATTACTATGGGAGATGGATTGGATGAAGCGGTCCGGTTAATTGGCCTGCATGTTTACCCGATCTCACATCCCCAGATTTTTTTTTATGGGGCTATTTGAAAAATATTGTTTTCGAACAACAGCCCACAACAAGAGCAAACTTTGAAGATCGCATTCGTCGAGCATGCGCTGCAATTCCAAGGCAAACTCTCCTTAACACCGTACGCCATTTCCAAAGACGTTTGATTTTATGCCTTCAAGCAAATGGAGGCAACTTCGAACATTTGCTTCAAAGTTAAGTTAATAATTTTTAAAATAGTGAGAGGCGAGGGGACTCACTTTAATCCAGCACCCCGAATAGTGAGAGGCGAGGGGACTCACTTTAATCCAGCACCCCGAATAGCGAGAGGCGAGGGGCCTCACTTTAATCCAGCACCCCGAATAGTGAGAGGCGAGGGGACTCACTTTAATCCAGCACCCCAAAGGAAACAGTACTTACTACGTCCACGTCGTTGTTTCTGGGTAGTGCTAAAAGTAAGGTCAATACAGTTAAAGAAACCCTCGAAAATAGTGATTCTTATTTCGAAAAATCACTATGACCTTGAAAATCGAGTTCAAGGTCAAGATCAGAGTACAGATAGGTGATCCCCTCGGCCCTTCTTTAACATTTGTCTGGTTCCGGTATATTCAATTAGAAAATCAAAATTCGCAAACTTGACCTTCATTCGACCTTGCCATGACCTTGATAAACATATCATTTTGAACGTAAAATTTCCCGCTCTTTTCAAATCCGGGGTCAAAAATAGGTGTTCTCATTTAAAAAAATCACTTTGACCTTGAAATAACCTTGAAAATCGAATTCAAGGTCGAGGTCGTTGGTACCATTAGGTAATCCCCTCTGTCTCCTTCTACTTTTGTCTGGACCATTTTTCTATATGGCTTAGATTACCAGAAATTCAGGTGGGGAGATTAAAATGGCCCACCCTGTATACTATTAAAATATATACGTCTATAATATATCAAAAATTTAAACATTTAAAACTTTAAACGATTATCTAATAATAATATATTAACCACGAAAAGTAACTGATATATTATTAATCCTAAAATATCATTAAAATGAAAAGGTCAAGCCATGTTCAAAAATAGATCCTCGCAAATTAAAAAGCCCAACAAATTTAAACCTTTGAAAGCTGACCGCAAAAATTTAAACCTTTCTAAATTAAAACGATTACCTAACCACAAAATAAAAACCCTAATAAATTACAACCTTTGAAAATTAACTCCAAAATTTGAATCTTTCTAAATTAAAATGATTATCTAATAACGTAACCTAATAATTTAAACCTTTAATACTTTAAATGATATTATCTAATATAATATATTACCACGAAAAGTAATTGATATATTACTAAATGTGCCAGTTCAAAGTGAACATACATTATGTATATTTTCTATGTTGAATATGTACCACGAAAAGTAAATGATAGATTATTCAAGGTGCAAATTCAAAATGAACATACCTACATGTAAGTAAAACAGATTACAATTAAAATATTACAGTTTTCCAGAAAATAACAGTAATGAACATACATAAAGTATATCTTCTATGTTGAATATGTACCACGAAAAGTAACTAATAGATCATTCAAGGTGCAAATTCAAAATGAACATACATACATGTAAGTAAAACAGATTACAATTTGCATATTACAGTTTTCTAAAAAATTTCTGCAATACGTTATTCTTCTAGTGCACAAAATATAAAAGTCGATTATTAAGATTTGATTTGAAATTTATTTAATTTATACTAGCCCGTGCAATGAAAAATAATTGCTTGTAATTTCAGAGTACCAATCTGTTAATGACTCGGAAAAAGAACATGGCGGCCTGCACTGAAAAGACTTTCGATGGATGGAATATATGATTGAAATAGAAGTTATGAAAATGTTTTAGATAAAAAAGACTTTATTTTTAGATTAAAAGATCTCCTTGTAACGATGCATCCCCCATCGTTCCGGGACACACCACCCAGCCGAACGCCGCTGCATTGCTATGCAATGCAGTGATGAGGGCGCATAGCGCCATGAGACCGAAATAGATCGATCGCCGCGGACTTCCACTTCTTGGGACTTAGTCCCGCGCATCGCGAAGCACGGACAACGGGAAAACGCGAGCGAATCCGAAAACCCACGAACGCGGCATTTTCGGTAATATAAAAATGCCGCGTTACGAAGAAACAGGTGATTCCTGTTCCGACCAGATCCTAATAACGAATCCGACCTCCTAGAGCCGAATACGACACCAGGAAAACCGGGCCGGAGAGTTCTCCAGCTCCGCCGAGCGTTCTCGGCAGGGATCGAAAAGGCGTCCCATAGCACCGAACGGCAGGAACCGAGGGGCAGAGTGTGCTCTGTTTCTGCCGAGCGTTCTCGGCAGCCGTCTTGGTGCAGCGCGCAACGACCAACGTCCGGGGCAGAGAGTACTCTGCCTCCGTCGAGCGTACTCGACCGTTGGCCCGCGCCGACCGCCTCTTGCATTCGCACTGCGATTGACCAGCATTCGCCCGGGGTGGAGGGTTCTCCACCTCTGCCGAGCGTTCTCGGCCGCTGGTCGTCGCCCGCGTCAGTACGAATACGCGACCCGCGATAAAGCACACATAACCGCGCGTTACGGGCACTAGACTGCCGCGCCGGCAATTCTAAAATTAGATAATCGACAGCTGATCAGCCGCGCTAGCCGACACCGCGAGAAAAAAAAGAGCATAGCGAGTCCGTTTTTCTAGCCCGTCATAACATCGCCGCGAGCAACACATCTCACTCGTTCTCACTCGCTCACTCGCGTACTAGCGACTCACGCACTCACACGCAAACTACTTGTAATACACACACACCGCGCCGATTGCGCTTCGCATATCAACCGACACACACACACACACGCGCGCGCGCGCGCGCGCTCTGCACTGTAAAATACACACCGCGCCGCTTGCGCTTCGCATATATACCGATCACGCACATACACACACACACACACACACTCGCACATATACACTGCAACCGTCTCGGCGCAAAGCAATTTCTTTTGCTCCTTTTCCAACAGAATATAAGCCGTTTCGGCGAAACCAATAAAGCTGATTGTTTTTGTTATCATACACCTGTCTGAGACTTTACTTGCCTTGCATTCTTCCACCGATCGAACCTCTTTCGAATCCTTGGACGAATATTCCGACGAGCTAACGCCGCGCAATTCGAGAGTTAGGTAGTTACAACATATTTGAAATATATATATATTTTAAGTAATAAAATTGTAACGATGCCCCCTAAAATAGCATCGTCACTAGACAAGGGCCATGCCACATAGGCCTATATGTCGGGAATTCGCAGGTACAGCAAATTTCATGACCGAAAATAGTTCGGCGCGCAATTTGGAGAGAATTTTCAAATAAAGTTGCGTTTCAAGACCGACGAATGTTTTGGCGCGCAAGTTGAAAAAGGGGGGGGGTGGGAGGGGAATTACATATTGTTGGGGGATTGAAAAGATGTACGCTGAAGCTTTATGCTGAGAGCTCGTGCAAGAGAATACTTTATTGAATTGCTACAAGAACGTCAAGGCGTCGTCGCATGTAATCGATCCAACGATCGATCTCTCAAATTCCAACAACCAATCAATAAGCTTTCGATAAGCAATCGATAATCGTGTATCGTAACTTCTAACATCCCGGCCGCCTTGAAATATAAGTTTCAAATTAACAAAACGAAAACTTTTCTAATCTGATACAAAAATCTGATACAAGAATTAATCTTTGAACGAAATAACAGTTTTATAATAGTAATGAGTTACCGTGTTTTAAACATATCATGTTTAACCTTCCATTGGGTTTTTTTTTTATAAATTTGAAGACTCGACTCGTTATGCTAATACTAATACTATAACAATACTAAATAAAATAATGTAATACTAGTAAACTATATGAAATGAGTAAATAAATAAAACTTAGTGTTCATAAGGTAAGGCACAAAGTTTTCTGACGCTTCTTCGAAATTGTCCTTGGGCTGTTTTGACGTCTGCAACTCGAACAACGCCATCTGCGCCAGGGTAGACCTTGATGACTCGACCCAAGGCCCATCGTAGTAGAGGCTGATTCTCACCCAACAGTAGAAATATCGTGTCGACCTTTAAATTCTCTGCTCCGGAAGTCCATTTAGTTCGGCTCTGAAAATGATAAAAATACTCTTTTTGCCATCTCTGCCAAAAGTGTTGCTTCAGTTTCTGGATATGCTGCCACCTTGTCAAACGATTGTCTGGAATCTCGAGATGACTTTGTGAAACAGGTTCTAATGGTGTAGCCCCAATGAGGAAGTGGGAAGGAGTAAGAATAGAGATTTCGTTAGGGTCTGAAGGTATTGGCATGAGAGGACGAGAGTTTAAAACGGACTCTATCTCAACAAGTAGAGTGCTGTATTCTTCGAATGTATAAGTTAGTCCTTTGGTTACCGTGTACAGGTGTTTTTTAATCGACTTTACTGCTGCTTCCCACAGTCCCTCAAAATGAGGTGATCTCGGTGGTAAGAATCTCCATTCGATCCTCTGGGCTGCTAAGGCTGTCTGTAATTTAGAATTATGCATTTTTAGGAATGTATAGATATCTTTCAGTTCTTGTGCTGCTCCTGTGAAATTCGTAGCATTATCCGAATAAATAGTGGAACAGATTCCTCTTCGACTCGTAAATCGCCGAAGTGCTACTAAAAACATTGCTGTAGTCAGATCTCCTACCAACTCCAAGTGTACTGCCTTTGTTGCAAAGCAGGTAAACACGGCAATATAACCTTTTGATATATGAATTCGTCCTCTTCTTCGACTTTCTCTAACCTGCAGAGGTCCTGCATAGTCCACTCCTGTGATCTCAAAAGGCTTAGAGAATACGTTGACTCTAGACTCTGGCAAGTCTGCCATCATATGTTCTTGCGCTTTCGGTTTATATCGAAAACACGACACGCAGCCACGTGTTATTTTGCGAGCCTCTCGTGCTCCTGATAAGGGCCAGTATCTATTGCGTATGGAACTCAAAAGTTGTTGTGGACCGCAGTGTAACAATTTAAGATGTTCCTCGCGAAACAGTATCGTCGTTATATGATGCTTTGCAGGAAGAATGATAGGATGTTTTTGCTCCTCTGAGATTCTTGCGTTGTTCAATCGTCCTCCTACTCTCAGAAGGCCAATGTTATCTATACATGGTTTGAGGTTCATTAAAGGACTTCGACTATCGATTACCTTCCCGGCCCGCAAATTTGCAATTTCCTTTGGAAATGCCTTCTCTTGGGTCCATAGCAATATTCTGTTCAGAGCCCTACCGAGTTCCTTTACTGTTATTGGCCCTGTTTCTTGAGACTTATCTGCTAAACGAAAACAGTAAGCAATGATTCTTTGTAATTTCAAAATTGATGAGAATTTCCTTAAAAGTTCAGTCTGTGGGAAGTTTAAATTTTTGGCTTTAGATTCTTGGAGCGTCACTCCCATGCATAAACTTTTCTGCTCTGGAATCTTTGATGGAAACGACATACAGGGTGAGGCAAAAGTATGGAAACCCCCGAATAAGTTTTGAGGAAGGCATTTTACGAAAAAATGTTAAATACAAAAGTTTTAGGAAATTTCTCTGGCTTTTCAATGGTGACCTTGGATTTGACCTTGACCGTGACCTTGAAGCTCATATGAAGGTCAAGTCCATTTTTTAAATACGAACCCCCATTTTTCATCGTAGATTCAGAAAGAGCGGAAAATTTTACATCGGAATATGACCTTGATCATGACCTTGAAGATCATATCGAGGTCACGGCCATTTTTTCAAAAAACGAGAACGTCTACTTTTATCGTACATTTGGAAAGATTTCTCCAATACCTGAAATTATGACGATTAATTTCCCCATTAAGTTGAAATGTGGATTCATCTGTAAAAGCGATAAGGTGCAGAAAATTAGGATCCTGATGAATTCTATCCATCATAATTTCACAAAATTGCACCCGACGATCAAAATCATCTTCATTTAACTCTTGGTGAAGATGAATTTTGTAAGGATGAAATTTTACGTGTTTTAAATTCCTAAGAACTGAACGTTGGCTCATTCCAAGCTGTTGAGCTCCATTTCTAGTAGATAATCTACGATTTTCAACGAATGATAGGGCTACTTCAAATTGATGTTCATCGTTTGTTTCGGATTTCGGCCGTCCAGGTTTTGGGCGACTCTTATTACTTCCAGTTTCTTCAAATCGCCGAATAGTTTTAGAAAGAGTTCCCTTAGAAATACCTGCCTCGCCAACGCGGAACGTCGCACTAAATAAATCCACAACTTCGTTGTACGATCTCTGCCTGTCTCCCCAACCTCTCATCATTAAAAGAGAAATTCTTTCTTGCTCTGTTAGAGAAGCCATTTGGAAGTAAACTACCAGAGACAGTAGTAAGGAAACAAAAAATGTCACACTGAAGTGATCTTTTATTAACCCAAAAGGGTCCTTACAAAAATTACTGTGTCGTATTCTTCACTAACTATGGTACCCTGACAAGAACTGTTACTCTGCTTTTCTGAGGACTATGCAATTATCGTGAAAATAAATTTTAGAACTCCTTCGCACTTCGCCAATGACCAAAGTATTTTAGTAGCATGTAAGATAAAAGTACCAATAGATAACCACTTGTCCCAATTCCTAGAAGGACCCTTGGCATACTAAATTGACATGTAATACAAGGGCCTTCTAGGAATTGGGACAGGTGGTTATCTATTGGTACTTTTACCTTACATGCTACTAAAATACTTTAGTCATTGGCGAAGTGCGAAGGAGTTCTAAAATTTATTTTCACGATAATTGCATAGTCCTCAGAAAAGCAGAGTAACAGTTCTTGTCAGGGTACCATAGTTAGTGAAGAATACGACACAGTAATTTTTGTAAGGTCCCTTTTGGGTTAATAAAAGATCACTTCAGCGTGACATTTTCTGTTTCCTTACTACTGTCTCTGGTAGTTTACTTCCAAATGGCTTCTCTAACAGAGCAAGAAAGAATTTCTCTTTTAATGATGAGAGGTTGGGGAGACAGGCAGAGATCGTACAACGAAGTTGTGGATTTATTTAGTGCGACGTTCCGCGTTGGCGAGGCAGGTATTTCTAAGGGAACTCTTTCTAAAACTATTCGGCGATTTGAAGAAACTGGAAGTAATAAGAGTCGCCCAAAACCTGGACGGCCGAAATCCGAAACAAACGATGAACATCAATTTGAAGTAGCCCTATCATTCGTTGAAAATCGTAGATTATCTACTAGAAATGGAGCTCAACAGCTTGGAATGAGCCAACGTTCAGTTCTTAGGAATTTAAAACACGTAAAATTTCATCCTTACAAAATTCATCTTCACCAAGAGTTAAATGAAGATGATTTTGATCGTCGGGTGCAATTTTGTGAAATTATGATGGATAGAATTCATCAGGATCCTAATTTTCTGCACCTTATCGCTTTTACAGATGAATCCACATTTCAACTTAATGGGGAAATTAATCGTCATAATTTCAGGTATTGGAGAAATCTTTCCAAATGTACGATAAAAATAGACGTTCTCGTTTTTTGAAAAAATGGCCGTGACCTCGATATGACCTTCAAGGTCATGGTCAAGGTCATATTCCGATGTAAAATTTTCCGCTCTTTCTGAATCTACGATGAAAAATGGGGGTTCCTATTTAAAAAATGGACTTGACCTTCAAGGTCACGGTCAAGGTTAAATCCAAGGTCACCATTGAAAAGCCAGAGAAATAAATTTTTCATTTAAATAAGCATAAGAACCACACACAGGATCTAGTTTGTGAAAAATTGTTGAAGTCAGTTATTTATTGTCAACAACATAAATCTATAATTAATATAAACGTTTCGGTCATCACAAAGTGACCATCTTCAGTATATAAATAAAATTACTATCATACAAAATCAAACGCAACATACAAAAAAATTTCGCTTACATCA